TGAAATGCCTCCAATAGTTGAGGGGAAGTTTTCTAAAATTAAACATTAAACAAAAGCACAACAAAAGGCACATTGTTTGTGGGAAAAGTTGTAGTAAAAAGACAGTTAAAGAAAATTAACTTGTATTCTCTCAAAATCAATTACAATTTAGATTTCCTGATTACAAAAGAGAGGAGAATGAATTTGATTCTCCCCTTTGTTTAAAACCGGGTTCTTCTTGGTAGCGATGGAGTGCCTCCCTCGAATGCTCGCGTCGAGTTTGCTCTCCGTTGACGATCCGATGTTTTGATTCACTAGAACGATGTCTTCTCCTCACGATTTGACGTTGTGAAGAACTTGCGTGGCAAGTTTTAGAACTCTGAACGAGTTTAGAAGAACTCTGTAAAGAGTTGATTTGAACCGAAAATCGATTAATATGCCAAGACCAGAAGAGAGCTTCGGTGGTCGATCTCCAGATCCGAGAATGCTCCAAAATATCCTCTCTTTGCTGCCAAGCTCCAAGGTCAATCCGAGCCAAGAAGTTCCCCCCTCGCTGCCAAGTCTCAGATCCAAAAAAGCCAGCCCGAACTCAATTGAGTTTACCCATATTTATAGGGAATTAAGGGGTGTAACCGCCCCCATTAATTCTCTTCATAATAGGGTTGAGAGGGGTGTAACCGCCCCCTTAATCCGCTCCTAAGTGGGGCGGAAATCCCTCAAATAACCGCCCCCTTAATCCGCTCCTAAGTGGGGCGGAAATCCCTCAAATCGTGGAGGAAAAACGGTTCCTGTAACCGTTCAGCTCGTGTTTGAACGAGTCATCCCTCAAATCGTGGAGGAAAAACGGTTCCTGTAACCGTTCAGCTCGTGTTTGAACGAGTCAAACGCCCGCGTTGGCGTTCAGGACCCTAACTCCGCGTTTTAGAATGGAGACGCAGAGTTGGGTACTCGCTGGGTGTTAAAAAACACGGGGTCGCCCGCGTTTGGTTTGCTGAGGATTGGAAATGCGGGGGTTGTTTGTTGGAAAAATTTGTAATAAAAGAAATAATGAAAGAAAAATTAATTTGTATTCTCTCAAAATCGATTACAATTTGGATTCC